GTGAGACGTGAATTATAGTGTTGTTATAGAGCGACTGTTGAAATTAAGTGTATCGTAAAGTTGTATTCGGAAAGAATAAACCAGTTTTATTTAAGAAAGGACTTGTGTCGCTAAAGTTTCGTCGGAACGAATTTACGGAAAATTAACTAGCAAACGGAGACGTAACAGTAATAATATATTTGATTGAGCTTGCTGATCTGTTGGAAATGGTTCATCAGTGTTAGGTGTGTGTGCTTCTAACTATATGACTGCCTCTGATTTGCCAAAAATTCCCGACGGTTATATAAAACAGTCAAGTAAAACATCTTGTATACCTACATATCACACCTAGATATCTGACCCATGGTATTGACCCTTCGGAAGTTTTATTATCAATACTTTATCACTGGGAAATGTTTCTTCCGCTCTAAACTGTTGTACGACCTGGCATGCTCTGATGGCTAGGGCGCTCGACTAGCAATTTGCGGGTCGCGGGTTCGAACTACCTTACTAATCATACTCGCCATTTCAGCCGTGGGAGCTTTATAATATAACATTAAATTCCACTTTTCGTAGCCCAAGAGTTGACAGTCGGTAATATTGACTAGCTGCCTTCCCTCTAGTCTACCTCCTTAAAATTAGGGACAGCTAGCGCAGATAGTCCTCGATTAGCTTTGAGCGAAATTCAAGAAAAACAAACCTTGTTGTGCAGTGCTATCCTAACAACTGATCAAAAGTGTTTGTCGTTACTTCTTCTGCTTAGCAAATAGCAGGGTTATGTAGCTCTTTACTGATATTAGAAATCGAGAATAGTTATACTTCCGTGGGTAGTTTGCCTCTAATACGCTTGCACCTACTCATTTGTAAGTTTGCGAAATCAGCAGTACCGGCACTAGGGGGAGGAAACATACAAAGAGTTCACTGCACCGAGCCTCCTCATCAGAAGAGGACCTAAATAACCTTCAACATTCGTACTTTTAACTGTTATAGAATTATTGTTTTTGACCACTTGTCGCTGGTCCTGTATGAGACTTTTTGTCCATACAACAATTAAAAAATGTTTGATTTTCTCTTTATAAATGTCGATATTTTTCGCACCACGGTTTGAACGCCTAGCCCGCCAAATGCAAACTCGCTTGCTTCTTCGAAGTTCGAAATGTCAATTATACTATCCAAATAAATTCCCTTATCTGATGAGACACCAAGGCTCTGGGCTTTCCACATTTCTTGTATTTACTTTTACAAACCATCTATCCATTCCTTAAGTCCCTAATATCCTTTTAACCAAAATGCATGTTCATATATATATACAAAAGATCGATGACCAAAACGGTGTGTGTGTGCTTATACAAGCTACGTTAATAGTTTGGTTACTTGACAACTGCTAAACTGACTTTCAAAGTAAAACAGTTAATTTACACTTAGGAAAGATATATTACGATAACATAACATAATGTTACGATAGCGGAAGTGACGTGACGCTGGTAACACGTAATGCGTTTCTAGAAAGATCGGGGAACATCACGAATAATCCAGTATTTGCTAGACGCCCTCTATTCTTGTATATAAGTGCGCCAGACAATTAATCGACATAGACTTGCAGACAGACAGAGACGGACAACTGAGTCAAGCGCGGTCGTAAGTAAGTGCATGAATTGTTCCCTGTGAATTATAACGTGTTTTTATAAAATTAGTTAAGTTAAATTGGCTGTGGAAATTAACTGTATTGCAAGGTTGAATTGAGAAAGAATAAAGTAGTTTTATTTAAGAAAGGACTTGTGACGCTAAAGTTTCATCGGAAAGAAATTATACGGGAATTAACTAACGACCAGAGACGTAACAATAATATAAAATTTAAGGGCAACAAGGAACCTATTGGTCCATTTTGGAAGTTTGAATTTGAATTTCGCGCAAAGCCACACGAGGGCTATCTGCGCTAGCCGTCCCTAATTTAGCAATGTAAGACTAGAGAGAAGGCAGCTAGTCATCACCACCCACCGCCAACTCTTGGGCTACTCTTTTACCAACGAATAGTGGGACTGACCGTCTCATTATAACGCCCCCACGGCTGAAAGGGCGAGTATGTTTGGTGTGACGGGGATTCTAACCCGCGACCCGCAGACTGCTAGTCGAGCGCCCTAACCACCTGGCCATGCCGGGCCCGTCCATTTTGGTATTCCCATCCATTAAGCTAAATAAAACATTTAAATGATTGAAACGCTCAAAACGAGTTCATATTATTTAAATATTTATCAAACTTTCCCTTAAATTCCCCAAAATCTACTGCATCAACCACATCTTTATTATAAGGCACCTCAATTCAAAAGGACAACCATACTGTTAGAAAAATTAACTGTCTAGCTGAAAATGATTCACACCCTGCCAAAATTTATATTTTTGTCTTCTAGTCCTGCCATTCTCACCATTAAGTACAGAAAATGATAATGAATCAACGCTATAAAATCCCTTTTCGGTCTTAAACACTTCAAACAAATCCCATCTAACTCTTCTTCTGTTTCTTTATTTTTCAAGAGAAAATAATTTCCGAAATCTTAATCTGCCCTCGTATGACAACTTTTTCATCCCAGGTGTCATTTTTAGTAGCCCTTCTCTGAACTATTTCCAATAATTCAATGTTAAGGAGCCAAAGACAAAACACAGTACTCCAAAGAAGACTTAACCAGTTATATATACAATCGAACTATAAATATTTAGACTGATATTCAATATAACAGCAAACTGATCAATCAGAATACCAAAAACCTTTTCGTTCACAACACTAACTGTTAAATATCATTATTCTTAAACGGATTTTTTTATTTTGTAAAGCGCAGTAAACTACATTCTTAAAGTCAGGTTAATATGCGTGCTTTTTATCGCGAACCGGTTGTTAAAAAATAACTTCAAACTAATTACTGTAATCTTGTCTCGATATGTTTTATTAGCGTGTATTCTTTCACTTTAATTTAGTTACAGATGGCGGTAGTAGTAAAATCAGTGTTATGGCGCAGTTGATATTATTCTCTAAACAAAACTTCAGGTTCATTTTAGATTATTACTGTTTTTGAGGTTGTTTGTTTCAATTGTGTGTGGTATGTACAATTTTAGAAAGAAATGACTCATGTTTAGATCAGCATATTGATAATTTATTTGTGATTTTGTTATATATATTTTTTTATTTTAGGAAAAGGACTTTGATTCAAATTTTAATTTTTTATTACTTTCAAGTTTCAATCAAAGTTCAAATCCTAGAACTAAGTACAACATATTGATAAGTTAAACGAGATTATTTAATTTTATACGAATCAATTGTTTATACTTACTACTTAGGCCTAACTATTAACTCGGAACATTATGTAGAAATTTGATTCTGTTATCTAAGTATATATGTTAACTTATTAGATTGTAAACAATTTAGAGAAGGGCTAAACGTAAAAGTTAAATGTCTGTAACTTCTTTGTCACCCAGTTTGTGTTACTGCTAATGCTGTATACAGAAGACAATACAAGTCCTCATTTTTATGCGTTGAACAATTTGAAATTACACCATAAAATTCCTAATTATGCAGAAAAAATAAAATTATGTGTCAAAATTTAAGATTGTGCAATACTTATCTAAAGTAAAAACAGTTAAGAGAATGTTAGACATAGTTAATACAATTCCACAAGTTCAAGAGCAATTTAGTTTTTACTAAAGTTTTTATGAAATAATAACAACAAACATACTTTTTAGAATTTTATAAGTCTTTGACATGTCATTAATTAAGCAGATTGTGGCAAGCTGTCATTTTTTGCCAAGCTGTGATGGCATGAGAAACAAAAGTTATAACTAAGTCAAAATTTATAAATCTGGGAATACTGACCTAGACATGACTTTTAAATGTTAAATTTTATGTTTATTAATATAATTAATATAATATAAGAAATAAAGATGTTCCATCTATCTTCAAAAATAATTGAATTTAATTCTGTTTTTATAACTACTGTTAATTTTTACCATTCTTCCATATTTTGCAGTTGTCAAAATGCCAAATCAGGGGAAAAACTTTGCAGCTGGTGTTCAAACAGATGTTGATACACTGATGAAGAAGTTTGTGGGAAAAAAAAGCATTCGATATGAGGAATTTGCAAAAATTTGGAGAGATATGAAATTTTCTCTAATATTCTTGTAAGTTAATGTATAATTTCATATTTACATGGTGGTTACCAGGTCAGTCAAATTGACCAAGCTGGTTCCATAGGGTTGAACCAAAAATTCATTGCACAGTAATAAGAAATGCCACACTTAAATGAGACAAAATTTAGAAAATGTTTTTGTAGTAAATAATAACACCATAGTTACAATTGAGAATAACTCTTTGTATTGGTAGGAATGTTTTAGGTGTTAATAAGTTTTAACAATGTAAAACTAAAAATATAAATGAAGAAGTTAAGTGACTATGGATTAACAGCTAATTGTAGCACTTATTGATTAACAATTGTCAGATAAATGTAAATTATATTATCACTTAAATATTTAAGAAATAATAAACTAAGTACAGAAAATCTTGGAAAAAAAGTGGCAGATGGATTTTTTTAAAATTCAAAACCAAGTTGTTAGATCATAGAAAGTATGTCCTTACATTAAAAATAAATTGCTTATCATAGTTCATTAAAAAGTTAAAACATAAAGAACAAAAAGTATTTTAATTATAAAATTAGTACTCTATTATATAAATTTAGAAACACTGAATAACGAAAAGCATACATATTTGAAAAAGGATTATACTGTAAGAAACATATTCCAGAGAATTAAGAAAGATTGGTAAATAAATAATTGTTTATCATTTACTTTATGATGTTTTATTTTAACTTTCTAATTTTTTAAGGTTGAAAGATAATGAAAGGGAACTGTTATTGGTAAGTAATATTGTGTGTGTTTTTAACATTCTCCACAGTAGATATCTATAAGTAGATACTTAATGTGGTTAAACTCAATAGTTGCCCCTCTGTTGGTTAGTGGTAAGTTTATGGACTTAGTGCTAAAATCTAGGATTCAATTCCTCAACAGTGGACAAAACATGGATAACTCTTTGTGTAGTTTTGCACTAAAACAAATGAAACTTGTTTATGTTTGTTGATAACTTTCCCACTGTAGAAATATTCTTTTCGAAGATGGTATATTTGTTCCCATTGAATTAAAGATAAAATAACTAAAATATTTTAATTTTCTATTCAGTTATGAATAAAAGTTATATAATTAGTTAGGAAATGAATGATATATTTTATTGTAATGTTATCACAAAATTCTGAACACATATGCTTAGTATTAGTTTGTAGGCTTCTTATAAAATAGGTTTGTCACTTTATTTGACTTTTTTGATAACTAGATCTGTTTTACATTATTTTCTGAAACTTATGTTCAAAAGCAACCAATGAACAAATGCAGCAACATGATATAATCTGAAAAAATGCTGACTACATAATTATTTTTTAAATATTTTGTTTATATTTTCAGCTTATATGCAAACAAAAGTTTTTAAAATAAATTTCTAGCTATTCTGAGCATAACAAGGAATAATAAAATGACTGTTCAATTTGTTTTCTCTCATATTAATTTTTTTCCAGTTCATTGAATACAAGCTAGATATGAAATTCATATTTTTATTTCATCTATAAGCTACGTGCAATTAAGATATAATAACATGTTTATTCTTCGGACATTTCAGTATTTGTAAATTCTGGAATATCTACATATTAATATGTTTCTGTGTTTTGCTTTGGTTTTCTTCTATAAATAAGGCACTACTTTGTGCCTGATAAAGCTATACATGTACTTTTTTTTTCAGTTCACACATGAGTGCTTCAAGATTGCTATGAATTTGTGGACAATAAACCATAGCTTCCAGGAACAAGTGACTGGCCTTTACTTGTTGTATGGTTTTTATGTAAAACAACCATTAAATCCACCTGTCAAGGTAAATGTGATGGCAAGCTATGCATATTAATGTAATGCTTTTTTATCAGGAGTCCATTCACTTTATGACAAGTTCCAGATGTTATGGATATGGTTGTACAATCTGTATTTTATCTAATGTTTTTAATTTTTTTGTCAGGATTCTTGTGTGTTTTAAGGCTATCATAGGAAAACTCGTATCTGTTGTCTTGGCCTGGGATTCTTTATCTAAGTCTATTTCATCAATTCATTATTCCTTTTTTTAGATGTCACATTTGGTGATGTCAAGTTAAATCAGTAAGATGTGTTTGTTACTTCTTACTTCTACTAAAATCTAGTTTGTAGTCATTTTTTATTAAAACTAAAAATACTAATAGGAATAGATGAGTAGAAATTCTTATTAGAATTTTCAAATCATAAGTTTGTTGGTCTTTCTGAGAAATGTTGATTTTTATTGATCTTTTAGATTAGAATCACATTAGAACAGTGGAAACAGTTACAAGAAATTTTCAGTATTGCAACTCGTGAACATCACTTGGATATCTGTTTCATCTTTCGTCGCCTGCAGCTTATGAATGCTTTTCACTTTGTAGCCACTCCAACCATGGTATGTTTTATTCTTATCGAATACATTGTTAGGTTAGTAAATGAAATAGTATGGAGGAGCGACTTAGAATGTAAACTGTAAGCCAAAAATTCCATCTTTTATATGCCAGTTTAGTGCTGTACCTCATCATCAGTTTGTTTAAATGCATTAAAATATTTCAATATAAGTAACTCAATATGATTTTTCATCTGTAGCATCTTTCAGTTACTATTAATTTCTCTTCTGATAGTAAAGTATAATGAATAGGTATACATGGCGCTGAGTAGTAAGTACTTTCTACTTCACTTGCTGGTTCCCTTTTTTCATGTTTTAGTCCTTTTCTCTCTGCCTTTTTGTAATCCATCTCCTGACTTCACCTTTTTATCTGAGGCATTTCTTCATGCTTCAGATGGTCCTCTGTAGAAGTTAAATTCCTTCCCTTCTCTGTTTGGCCTGTTCCACTTCTGCTTTGTCCCTCCATCCTTTGTGACCCTGCTGTTGAGACCCAGTGAGTGTGGTTGAGCTCTTTACTTTACTCCTTCGTTTTGCTTGTGTATCCATTGTTTGTGTGGCTCCATTTCTTTGTCCAATTGTCTTCAATGGAGTTTCTTTCTCCCTGATAACCTGGAATGATGTTATATGGCTTCTGTCCATGTTATCTTTCCAGGTTTTTCTCCTTTACTCCTATTCCTCATCTGGTTCAGTATTTTTGTCAACTTCCCATTCTGGATTCCAGACATTCCTCTTTTTCTCAATTTCCCTCTACAGACATATAGTTTATCACTCTTAATGTCAGTGACTATCATGTACATACAATCCTGTTGATCTCAATTTCAGCTGACAGGCGTTTTCCTTTTCTACACTTTGGCCTATTTCCTAGCTCCTCTTCTTTCTTTCCTATTTCCTTTGGCACCATCTATGATGTTTTTCACCCAGTCTGTGGTTGGTTATGGTCGATGTGTTGAGCACCTTCCCATACATCTTTCTTGGCCCATCCTTTATTTGTTTTCTATGTTCTGTCCATCGTTTTTGTGTATTTCCATTCCTTGCTCTTCTCTTTGCCTCAGTGTTGGCCCATTATGTATTCTTTGATGTCATGAAGCCATTTGTTTGCCATATTCATGGCTAAGGGATGACATTTCTTTCTTAGACTGTTTACTTCTGTTAGCTCATTCTTGTTTCTTTCCCCTACTCCTACCTCCTTTTTTTTACAGTGGCTTCGCAGTTGAGGGGGGGGGGGCTTATCCTGAGATCTCAGTTCTTTCTCGTGCCCAATCAATATTTGATACTTTTGAACATTTTCTTCCTCTCTTGCCTCAACTGATTTCAACCTTCTCTTCTTTGCCTGAGAACTATGTCTGAACACTTGGCCTTACCCTGGAACCCCGCTTTCCTTTGGAGCATGTACTCATCTGTCTCATACAGTGGATTTGGGAGATGCAAGGCTTTCTTCTTAAGGTCCATTCACCTCATTTGTTAGCTTCTCCTTGAGGAATTGTCATGGTGACTGTACCATACTCACACTACTTCCTGTGTTCCTTTACCACTCCTCAAACTGGACTTCTCCCTTCTTTGATACTTCCCTCTCTGATTGTGATATATTTCTTGATGTAGGAAGGGCTTCTGATGTTTGAAATCTGGAGAGGCACCCACTCCATATCATCATGTCCCACCTTTTCGAGGTTCATTGGGCATGCTCCAATTCCCTACTGGTGGATCACTTGGTCATGATCCACTCATCTATTCCACTGTCCTTTCTTGCTCTATCCATCCATGTGACACCCATTCCAGGGTCTTTTGCTTTTAGAATTATACATACACTTCTGAGCCCATTCTTATCTGGTTAACTTTCTTATATCTAGTTTAACCCTTTTGAGACTGGTCACAGGTGAAAGGCCATGTCATCTCGTTTGTTGACTCACATTCAAAATGATTTTGAACTACTATTTCATGAATTTATGTCAATAAGTTTGGTATCAAACAGTAGATTATAATTCAAATTTTAGAACTATACATTACTAAATTTGTTAATTTAAAAGTAAATATTAAAAAGAACACAAACATCGATTTTTGTGTGTCACACGGTATGTTGAATGCAGCACTGGTTCAAATTAGATGTTTGTGAAGTCAAAATACTAAGTCTATAGTTTCACATGAATTAGAAACTCAAATTACAGATATTGAAAAGCTAGAATATAAATTAAGAAGGTCTTAGCTTTTCTATTCGCTAAGATATTGCTCACATAATAAATCAAACACAGTGGCACCCCGCTCACCTCTTTCCATTTTTGAAAACACTCCCTTAAACACACTTACTTCTATATATGACATGAATAACCAATTGAAAGCTCAGAATGTCCCCCTAGTGGTTTTCTCGTCCTTTCTAATGCACCTAGCGCCATTTTTTTCTTTTGAATCAAGGTTTC